CATTTTCTTTGGGGTTTGTGTGTGCCCATGTGTGTGATGGTGTGTGTACATAGGTGTTTGAGGAAACTGCTTTATTAGATTTTAACAGGCTTGTTGCAGTTAAGTTCATGTTGGGCCATTTCTTAAAGCTTCCCCAAACCTGGGAAAACTTGATGATCATCTTGGTGTATGGTGAGGGTGTCACATGTTTTCTGAGTTATGCCTAATTTTGTAGTAGGCTAGAGGCTTTACATTGATGGCCTGTTTCTAACAGTAGATTTTGGCCTTTTGTGCAGAGATTTTTTTCCCCCAGGTTTGCGATTTTCCTAGCTCTGCTCACGGTGGGTTGAGGAGAGATGTTCCTTTATTTGATGACTGTTGTGAACTCTAGAGGTCTCTTTCTTGTGCGTAACCCATTGTGTTGCACACTAACTGGTGAGCCAGAGTGGAACTGCTACATCCCCTGGTCTCAGTCATTTCTACTGCGCTGATAGACTCCTTTCCCTTTTTTTCAGCAAAGTGCCGAGGAAAGTTCCAATTCCAGGAAAAGAACTGAAGAAGGGAATGTTCCTATGCTGCCTACCTCACAGCATAAATGCAGAAATTCTAGAGAAGGTAAGTTTTGGATTAGGCTATGTAGACTTTTCCTTCTTTCTTTCTCTCTTTTTTTTTTTTGTTGATGACGTCTAGAAATGATGTCTGTCCGTATTAAGCACTAGCTGTAATTAAGACCATTATGTAGAGAACTCAAAAAATAATAATGCTATCATTTCACATGTGAAGTAGGAGGGGCATATGTCATCCTTCTTTCTTTTTCGTTTTTTTTTTTTGAAGAAGATTGGCCCTGAGCTAACATCTGTTGCCAGTCTTCCTCTTTTTCTTTCTTTTTTTCCCTCCCCAAAGCCCCAGTACATAGTTGTATGTCCTAGTTATAGGTCCTTCTAGTTCTTCTATGTGGGACTCCGCCTCAGCATGGCTTGACGAGCTGTGAGTAGGTCCACACCCAGCATCTGAACCAGTGAACCCTGGGCTGCCAAAGTGGAGTGTGTGAACTTAATGGCTACGCCACTGGACTGGCCCCATCATCCTTATTTTTTATTCTTTTCTGAAAACTTTTTTTTCACCCTAGTCATCATTGTTAACTTTGAAGATGATGGTAGTGCTCTTTTAGCAACCCATGACTACTGGGATGGAGCAAGACCCTCCCTTTAGCTAGCTTGCTAATAGAAGATAGCTACACATTTATCAGTTTGCCGCCTGGTAACTCAGCTGCCTTAGCCTTTTAAATCTTGGCATCTCTGTATATATTCAATTTGGTTAGAATTTTTATTTTATTTGTCTGCTTGAGGCAAAGCCTAATTTTCATAGATTTTTGAAGTTTGCAAAGATGATAAAATATACGTGGTATCTCAGAGCCAAGAATGAGATATAAGAAGTCTAGTAGTTCTTTTGCCCTTGGATGGTAGTCATCAGATCTTTGTCATCCATACTAGATATGGTATGGGCAGGTTAAATGACTTAATTGCTATTTTGGAAGTTTCCCTCAAACCTTACTTTATAAAATAACTCCTAAATTTTTTTCTGCAAAGATGTATAAAAACATGAATTCCTCAAAGGTGTTTTATGGCATGATAGTTTCTAGTCTAGGTACCTGGCTCACACTTGCAGCAATGGCAGATTAGACCTCTAGCAACATCCCAGAAAGCTATTCTGCTGAAATTGCTTTAAATGTTTGAATTAAAGTTGAATCAGTTTATCATGATGGATTGTTTCTTCAAATTGCATTTGAATATAAACTGAATTTTGGTCTACCTAGTTACCTTGGATCTTATTCTAGTCTGTATGGTATTTTTAAATGTGTAATTTTGTTTCTTATTTTCTACTGAGAAGACTGTTATAAAATATAAGAACAGCCAATTCAAGAGACTGTATGCAGTTTGTGATGTAAATTTTGAGAATAAATAGCTTAGTAGGTATATAGGTAGAAAGGACAGAATTTTTGTATATGACAAGAATGGCCTATTTCCATCCCTTTCACGGGAAGTTATAGAGCTTGAATAGATGAAGATAACTTTAATATGGCACCATCTCAGGAATTTGGTTTCTGATAATTTCAGCAATGAGTCAGTAAAAAGGTAGTTGAAGTTTCCCTGGGCACAGGTAGTCCTTTTAATAGGCAGGATCAACTTAATTTGTAAGTAAATAGGGTGACCTTTTGTTCTGGCAGGGATCCATTTACTGCGGAAATTTTTTCAACCATATGTACCTCAGCATATTTAAACACCCATGGTTGCCACTGGCATGCCTTAGTGCATTGGGAAAAGTGAGTGGAGAGTGAGAGAGTAGGGAAAGAGTAAAGCACAATAAAAAAGATTGGACGATGGGAAAGAAGAAAAGAATTTCATGCGGTAGCAACAGACTTATGTTTTAACTGCTTTGAATGTCATTTAGATGTACAACACAAGATCTTTTACTTGGAGTATGTGGGCCCTTAATATGTTTTGGATTGGTGGCATTTCTAGATTTTAGGTATCTTAACTTCAAAACAGCCCATTGATTGAGAAAGGACATATTATTTTGACAACCTAGAGTTCAGTGTTTTATAATGGTTGTTACCTATCAAAACCTATGAATTATTGAGAAACGTCCCAAAATATGTGGTACTAGTGAGACTGCCTTGACAACCTAGTGATTGCCAGTTATGGCCATTACATACTGCCTTGCTATCAAGGGTTGGGCCATTGTGCCATCACTATTTGCCATCCAATGGATCAAGCCATTATCAAGGACCAAGTCATTCTTTAGTTACTACAGTGGTAGGAATGTTTAAAATGCCAATAAATGCCAATAAAATGACCATTTAGAAATCCCTTTAGAACAATGTCATTGTTTGGATGCTTTCAGAGTTTAAATTTCTTGATAAATGATCGTCTATCTCTAGTGTCATTATTTGCTAATGAAGCCTAAACATGGGAGGAGATTTGGGCTCTGCAACTGATGCAGATATTTGATTTCTGATTCTTTCTTACTGGGATTAGGAATTTCTTTTTACCTGTCTTATAAAGAGATTGTAAGTATTGTAGAGTCTTGATTCTTAAGTGTTGTGTACATAGTTATCATCTTTTTCATTTGACTTCTGTAGATGAAGACTTGATAGAAAATTTAACTCAAGATGAGACATCTAGGCTGGACCTTGGGTTTGAGGAGTGGGATGTAGCTGGCCTGCCTTGGTGGTTTTTAGGAAACTTGAGAAACAACTATACACCCAGAAGTAATGGCTCAACTGATTTACAGACAAATCAGGTAAATTTCACATTTGAAGGGGAACTTTTTTTTTTTCTTTTGAAAGAATAACATTCTTGGTTACTCTTGACCAAACATTGCCTTCTCTAAGAATTCTCATTCAGTGCTATGACTTGAAGTACAATATGTATGCATGTGATGCCCAAATCTATATCTGTGGCCCTGACCTCTCCCCTAAATGCCCAGCTTCTGTATCCGGCTGCCTATTCAACACCTCCGTTTAGGTGATTTGATGCTTAGCGTGTTCAAAACAGAACTCTTAATATATATATATATATATATATATATATATATATATATATATGTTTTTTTTTACCAAACACTTCTTTCCAACTTTTCCTTTCTCATCAGTCTACTTTCTACCCAGTTATTCCAGCCAAATATCACGAGATATCATTGATTTTCTCTGTCATATGCCACATTCAGGTTATCATCTCTATCCAAACGTATCTGAAATCTAACCAACCACTTTTTACTACTTGCACTGTCATGACCTAATTCAAACCATTATCAGTCTGTTCCTTTATCTTATTTTTATATTCTCCATTCTACTTCTCACTTTGTAAAACTATTATTATATTTTTTTTATGTGTCTGTTGTCTGTTTACCCCCACTGAAATATAAGTCCAGGCTTTTGTATTATTCACCACTCTACTCTATCGCCTAAAACGTAGGACAGTATGTGACACCTATTAGGCATACCGTGAGTATTTGTTCAGTAAGTGAATGGACATATAGTAGTCACAAAATAATAAGTTGTCTCTTATGAATATTGTAGAAAAGCATGTCATAAATTCTCCATAGATGAATGCAGAAGGAACGTTTAAAGTTGTTTAAAAATTCAGAAAGGATCTGGACAAGAGATTTGAGTTACCATCAGTACAGTTGTGCATTGCTTAACGATGGGAATACATCCTGAGAAATGTGTCTTTAGGCAGTTTCATCATGCAAATATCATAGAGTGTACTTACACAAATTTAAATGATGTAGCGTACTACACATCTAGGCTATATGGTATTCATCTTACGGGACCTCTGTCGCATATGCAGTCCATTGTTGACCAAAACATTGTTATGTGGCACATGACTATATTTCTTTAATTAACATCATTGATCATTAATGGAAAGAATATGTCACAATTAATAGAATGTTTTCTAGCTCCTTAAAATGCCACCTGTGGAAAGGAATGTAGGGAATGGATTCTATTTAGTTGAGCAACTATGCCTCTTTAGCTTTTAAGCTCTTCAGTATTGTTTCTCAGGTGTCATACCTGATTTGCTGTTAAAATAGAAAATTCCTTGCCAGGCGCCCTTATATCCATCCATTAGCTTATACATAGGTGCCAAGCTGAATGAATAGATGTCCGTTGAAGAAAGGCTAGGTGTTCTTTGGAGATGGGTGAGGACGTTTGAGTTTTGGGTTCATTTATGTTGGTTCAACATCTGTGATAAGCCTCTGACTACAGAAACTCATGTTTGTTTTTTTCTTTTAGGATATAGGTACTGCCATTGTTTCAGACACCACAGATGACTTGTGGTTTTTGAATGAGTCAGTATCAGAGCAGTTTGGTGTTGGAATAAAAGTTGAAGCTGCTGATACTGAACAAGCAAATGAAGAAGTAGGGAAAGTGAGAGACAAAAAGGTATGTTATGGAAAAATTTCACATTGACTGTATTTATGTGCACATAGTATAGTCTATTCAGATCTGATGACCTGACCTATACCTCTTTGTACAACAAATGACTCATATAATCCCCCCTTTTTACTTTTTAATATTTTCCTATATTCAATTTTAAGATGTGCAGTAAGTTAACCAAAGCTGCCTTAAAAGTAGGATAAGACTTCATGAGTAAAGCTCCTACTTCGTTAGAAGCAAGAAGCTACCCTTTTTCTGCTTGTATAGTCTCCCGTTATGGAGTTTTTTCTTCTGGAGACCGTGCTTTGCTAACAAGACGAAGTTCTAAATGGCCACAACAGCCTGTAGGAAAAAAATCCTTATTTCTTAGACATCTCAATAGCTTCCATAACCATTTTTTATTTAAATGGAAATAGATAGATGAGTTCTTCCTATGTATTTTAGAGTTTAAATAGGGGGAAAGAAGGGAGTTAGAACTCAGAGTAAATATGGTGTGAGCACAGCAAGATGAAGAGTCATACATGCACATGCTCAAGTCTCAGAAGAAATTGGGCAGCAGATCCAGTGCCCAAAACAAAGAAGATTCTCAGTAAACAGCCATTGAATGAATATAGCAAAAAACAGACCAAAATTGGTTCATCCCTTTAATTTTAGGGATTTTCTTAGTAATTTGGGTTCCTGAAGGTTATCGTGATGTGTTTCTGGTAGGCAGATAGATGCTTGGGTTCTGTTGGACTAATTATGTGGGTAGCATTAGAAGGGAATGCAAGTGGCCAGAATGAAGTCAGAGGTGACATTTGGAAACTTCTGTAGAGAGAGATGGGACATAAAATACTTGAGCTTATGTGAGAAAGTTTCTATACAGAGGTTCATAATTGTATCATAATTTTATTCCATTTACTAGATTACAAAACTAGGGTGTTTTAAGTTTTAGAATTTTAAGTTCTGAATTTTAAAATTTAGGCGATAGTTCCCACTTTTTGTTTCCTAGTCCATGAGCATATTTTTATATGACAGCCAGAATATCACATAACTAGTTTTACTCTTGAATATGAAAAGTAAAATTTTGAAATACTTTGTTTTTATTTTTCACATCTCAGTTCCTTATTGCATACAGTACTTTTCACTTTCTCATGTAACCCTTATTTATTCTTTTGAATACGTACCTAGATTCCCAAGAAAAAAATTTCCACATTGAGTAATTTTTAGCTTTTCTGCTTTGATATTATTTTCTTTAAAGTCATAAATTTGGGCACCCTCTCTCTTCTGAATGCTGAAGATATTTGGTAATTCTTCTGGGTGCTTTTCAGTCATTCTGCTGAAATGCTGGCTAGGTGTGTACGGAATCATGTTTTGCTCTCACATTTAAGCTATCTCCTTTTTAAGTGCTAATGATGGAGGCAGAGTGTGAGTTTTAAATTGAAGCTCTTCTGTCTTTTGCTTTCGGGTAATAACCTCATCTAAAATAAGTGAACCTTATTAATGAGATGTTTTTGCCTTCACAGGTGATTGAAGTGGGAAAAAATGATGACCTTGAGGACTCTAAGTCCTTAAGTGATGACACTGATGTAGAAGTTACCTCTGAGGTATGACTCTCGAGTAGAAGAGCTGTTTTCTACTACCCATATCTTCAGATGTTAATATTCCAGCAGTTCACTTGTGTTGAAGAATGCCATTTTCTCCTCATTTCTACCTACCTTTCCTAGATGTAAAGAGATGTTGGTTTCTTTACTTCTTGTTAGAGATTTTTATTGGAATTTGAGAAGAGAAGGGGGTGAGTTGATCTCATCCTCTCCCTGTTTTGAAAAGGGATGATGTAAATGCCTTTCTGTGTTCCTTTCTCCCTGCTATCAAAACTCTTTGGACATGATGCAGTGGATACACAGAGTTATTCAGAATAGTCTTGCACTACGTTTCCCACGAAACACCTTTAGAATTCCAAAGACGGACCTACAAACTATCTATTCTTTGTCAGGTACAAAAGTAATATTTTCACTGATTTCTTAAAAAGAAACAAATGGAAAATGCCTTAATTTCCAGACAGGTTTATTTTACTGTAGGGCTAATAAATGAAGATTTCATCTTAAGCTATTAGGTAATAGGTATGGATTTGTCACCGGTTGACGACTCAAGTCTAGACTCAACTGTATACTTTGCTTTTCTCTTTTCATGTTAGTTTCCAATTTTCCTTTTACTGCTTCCCTCAGCTAACTCACTATGGGAAGAAGGGTGATGGGGGAAGGATAAAGCGGGAATTTTACATTTTGCTGCTTGGGGATAGAAAAATTTTAGGTTATCTCTGGTGTTGACCCCCCCCCCCAACACTGTTGGCCGTTACAGTAATTCATTGCAAATGATCGGTCTGTGCATAGCTAAGTTATCAAGTGGAATATATTGGTCCATTAACTGTTCTTGACCACAATACAAATAGCAGAGATAAGTGTTTCCATCTTAATCAGACTTCTGTGGCTACTTTGGCCCAGAAAATCTGTTAGGCAAATAGACTATATTTCATCAAATCAAAGATGCCATTGAATTTATAAGCCCAGTTATTTTATGTACTACTAAAAAAGAAAAAGTGATGCCAATTAGACTATGACACATCATCAATTATGAATTCTAAATCTTTATGAAGTTCCTTTGAGTATATGTATAGCATTTCAGATGAGATCTGAGGATCTTAAACTGGCAAGAATGTTTTGAGGCTCTCTGGAGAACATTCCAGTTTAACAGATGGTTGTGTCCCTGCCTCTTGGTCTAGGCAGTTGAGTTATGACTTCTAAACTTGAAGTACTTGGCCTTCGTTCTGAAATTAATCAAGTCAGCCTGTGTCAAATCATTGATCCTGTCAAAGCCAGGCAGTTATCCACGTTAAATACTCTTGACTTGTTCCAGGTAGCTACCTTTGAATTAAGCAAGGCATTTAAAATTCAGTGAGCTCTAGTATCTCCTAATTTAAATATGGAGAAGTAGGAAAAAAAGTACTTGGCATTCAAAGGACAAGAGCATTCACTTCTCAGAGGCTATGATTTAGGCATACAGTTAGCTACCTGTGATCCTGGGAGCAGTGAGAGAGCATAAGTCAATTTAGTAGTTTTCAAATCTCATTTTAATTTTAGCTTCCTTTTTGCTAAATTTTATAACATTTGTTAATTAGTAGGAAAGAATGACAGAGTGTTATCTCTTCTTCATTCTTTAGCCTCTTGCTCAATAAAAGAGTAAGGTGTACAAAGAGAAATGACCTAAAAAGAGGGCAGTGGGGAAAAACAAACAATGTAAATTTCCCCCAGAGTAGATAAAGCCAAAATAATTAATTCAACTTTCTCAAAGAAAGCTATATCAAATTTTGGCTTGAAATGGCAGTTGTGTCACTATCAGTGTAAAACTTCTCAAGAGTTTCTTACATGTACCTGTAGAATTTGTTCAAATTCTAGGTTAGAACACTGGTGTGGAATGTCTGGATTCTCACTAGCTTAGTGAGATGGTGAGAATTAGGCCTACCCTCCCTTTTTCTCAGCATCGTGTGAACCACTGAGTGAGTGTTAATTGGCTGCACTTGTCTTTTTAGGATGAGTGGCAGTGTACTGAGTGCAAGAAATTTAACTCTCCAAGCAAGAGGTACTGTTTTCGTTGCTGGGCCTTGAGGAAGGATTGGTATTCAGATTGTTCTAAGTTAACCCATTCTCTCTCCACATCTGATATCACTGCCATACCTGAAAAGAAGGAAAATGAAGGAATTGATGTCCCTGATTGCCGAAGAACCATTTCAGCTCCAGTTGTTAGACCTAAAGATGTGTGTATAAAGGAAGAAAACCCTAAACTTTTTGATCCCTGCAACTCGGTGGAGTTCTTGGATTTGGCTCACAGTTCTGAAAGCCAAGAGACTATATCAAGCGTGGGAGAACAATCAGATAACCTTTTTGAACAGAGAACAGATACAGAAAACATGGAGGATTGCCAGAATCTCTTGAAGCCATGTAGCCTATGTGAGAAAAGGCCACGAGACGGGAACATCATTCACGGGAGGACTGGTCATCTTGTCACTTGTTTTCATTGCGCCAGAAGATTAAAGAAGGCTGGGGCTTCATGCCCTATTTGCAAGAAAGAGATTCAGTTGGTTATTAAGGTTTTTATAGCATAGCTGAATCAGTGAATTGCAGAGAAATATTAACAGGGCCAGGCCGTATTTCAAAACTCCAGTCTCGAGCATCTCTACTTAGTGTCACCTGTTGCATCTGTTGATTTATTCATGTAAACATCTGTGTGCCAGGAATTTTTGCTTCTGACTTACATAGAATTTGAAAATGAGTTCTTTAGAACTAGATTATCAATTTGGGACTGCATTAACATGAAAAGATAGGTTAATCACTTCATTCTCCTTCAAAGATGAGGATCTAGGATTGAGAACTACCAGTACAAACAAAAATTCATTCTTCCACTTAGCAAGTTACTTAATCATTTCTTTAGTTAATTTTATTCCCTACTCTTTGCTTCTTTTCTATTAGGGAATGTTGTTACGTGTCAAAATCCAAGGTTGCTGTTAGAAAAATATTAAAGGTACCAATGAAAAAACTTAATTTGATTAGTCAAGCTATGTAGTGCTGTAGATCACTTTATGTTGCCATCAGGCTGCATGCTTCAGAGAAGCCAAAAGAAAAGTCTTGAAAAGCAAGATTTCTTTCATGTATGGCTAGAACAATTATATCTAACATTTTTCCTAACATACCCCTAAAAGAATTTTGAAAGAGTGTAATAACTTTTTGCACATGTAAAAAATTGAGGTATAATTAGCAAACAATGAAATCTTCCCTTCTGCTGAATTGTAGACATCTGAGTAACCACCCAAAATAAGCTATAGAATGTCTCTGTTACTGCAGAATATTCCCTTGTGCGCCGCCCCCCCCCCCCACTACCTCATGGCTGTCACCTAGATTAGTTTTCTTTTTGCACATGTTTAATTTAATGCCTAAATTTTTAAAACAATTTTAAGTACTTACAAAGGATATACTGTCCAGTGTATTCTCTATGTGCTTTAAAGATATTTTTAACAAAGTTTGGGAGCTATGGATTTAACTGATTAAATTTCTAGAAAAAAGTCCTGTCATATAAATTGGCAAAGCCTATTCTCATTATAAAATTAATCAGCCAAATCAGACTTCACTTTCAGTCAGAAAATGTTTGACTTTATTTTTGGTTCAAATAAATGCATTAACATACGTCTCTGGCACAGCCTTCTCAGTTACGGTTCTAAGATAGATACGGCACAGAATTTTTAACCAAAGCTCTCTTTACTTTGTCCTCACTCTTGAGAGTCCGCAGGGTTTTTGTCTTTTCGTTTGATGCCTCTAGAGGTTTCTTACATTCTGAGGCAATGCCCCATAGAAAGATTCTAGATGGGTGAGAGGCAGCCTTTCTTTTGAAAATAGGGAGTATGGCAGTTATGAAAAGGAAAGAAATTAAAGAGAAATGGTAGATCTGAAGAGAGCTTATCTGAGCACATAAATCTTAGGACATTATGTATAGAAATTGAGGATCTTTAAATCGATTTCCTTATAGATATCCCTGTCTGCTTTCCCCATGGAAAAAATCTTGATGTATATCCAGGGGTATGAATATGTCATTTTGAAGACCAAGGCCCTAGAATTATCAAATTTAAGGATCATAAGAATTACTTGGATTGCTTGTTAAAAAGCTCAATTCACCCCCCACGACTCCCTTCCT